AAATACACAAACTACTTCTCATTTATTTGACTGTGCCTATAACAACAGCAACAGCAGAGCGTAGCTTTTCAGCTTTAAAACGAATGAAAACATACCTACGAAACTCAATGACACAAAAACAACTCAATCACTGTATGACTTTGCATGTACACCATGAAGAAACTGACAAGCTAAATCTCACAGAAGTTGCTAAGGAATTTGTTGAAAAGAAAGATCGAAGTAGAGGATTTTTTGGACTATTTTGATATTCTTTAAATTTAGTTACAGCCTTAATTCATTAAATATTCATCACAATAATTTCATTTATTGGACTCGCGTAGGCGGGTACTAAGCAGTTGGGTTGTCATTCTGTCATTCTGTCCACACAGTTTAATTGATTTGTAAAAAAATTATCTTTTTGTTTGAGTAGTCTAGAGCTCTATTTCTTCTTCTAGCAACAGATAAAGTTGCTTTCTTTCATCTAGTAATGCTCTTGTAGCATCCCGTGGCACCAAAAGCTGTGAACTGCTAAACCAGGGGACCTCTCTCCAGGTGAGAGCTCGTATTTCACTCTACAGGGCCGAGATTTGCTTCAGAGGTAGAAAATCCCATCTAACGAAAAACAAAAAGAACGATTTTGTCCTAACTTCGTTGTTTGTGAGTTACAGCTGCTCAAAGTTTGTGATTTAGCCTCTTTGAGAATTTTCAGGCGGCACTGGGGAAGGCAGGAGCAACCAAACTCTCTCAGTCTCTTTTAAATATCTAGAAAAATTTTCTGTGCCAACTCTTTCTTGGAATAGAGCTTCAGATGCTAAAATAAATTTCAGCTTTTTTTCTTTCTCCTACCCATGTGCCATGATTTAGTTAGTTGTTGACCACACCCATAGCTTATTTTAATTATCATTATAACTATGCAGTCCATAATAATAATTTTTTTCAAATTGCTTAAAATATCACAGTACAAGTAATACATATCAGTCAAGTGAATTCCAGCAGGCGAGTCCATTGCACCATAGTGCTTCATTACAGGCCTGTACCTAGGGGGGTGATTCGAGTCCCTCCTTTTTGCTGTCATAATAATAATTATGACATTGTGATTGTATATCAAAAAACATGTTAAAATTGCTCTCTGAGCAGCCCTTTTTGAAAATTCTTTTGGGGGGTACTAGTGTTGCACCTATGTTGCATTTTACCTATAATCGGATAGCCTATATCATCGACTAGTTTTTTATCTAATTACCGATACGATGTGTATCTACTGCGCATGCGCAATACTGTTAAGTAAGATTAATATTACTAAAATTAATAATGAATCACGTGATCACAATTGCAATAAAATTGCCGCCTGTAGCACTACTACTT